CCCCTTATGAGTTAAATTTTGATCTAGACAAGTTTTGACAAAAATTTCATCACAGCTTGAAAGAGCATCACAAAATTAGTAATATTCCAAAGTTTCGTTGCATGCGAAATGTTGTAAAATGCGGATAATATAGCCTTGCGAAGTTTGCCGTTTTTCAGTCATTTTGTATTACAAATGGAAATTGGTAATCAGTTTGATCATCTGATTATCAATTTCCCGTTTGTAATGCAAAATGACTGAAAAACGGCAAAAATTTCGCAGTGCTATATTATCCGCATTTTACAACATTTCCCAACAAAACTTTGGAATATTACTAATTTTGTAATGCTCTTTCAAGCTGTGATGAAATTTTTGTCCAGACTTGTCTAGATAAAAATTTCACTCAAAAGGGGAAAAGTCTATTAGGCGCGAGATTTAAATTTAAAATTTACCGTTTGTGAACCATGTTTATCTTGGGCCTAGTCACATCGTAAATTTTGTATGGAGGCCGTGGTTTGAAGTGAAATTTCTGCAAAAGGAAACTTTCAAATTTTGAAAGGACTACATTGTTGGAAAGCAAGATAGTTGTTTTAGCAGCTGTTGTAGAATTTTCGACTGGGCTTTCCGTATTGTTGAGTTAGACGGGTTTGTTTATGATGATACGTGCAGCTTGGCCAATGGAAGTTGCCAACGTAATTGTCTCCTTTCCCCTCCTCCGCCGAGTCGCCGTGCTTCTAGTGCTTCTACTAATTACTGGGTCTGAACATTTCCAATTATCTTAAATGGAACCATCGTATGGAGGAATTGTTAAAAAAGCTTCCACCCTGTTGTATTTTCTGAGGCAACTAAAACGTGCCAAAGTTGCCGAAAAGGAACTTTTAACTTTATACAAGACTTGTATTCGTTCTATAACCGAATACGCCTGTCCTGTCTTCCACAACGGATTACCACGTATTTGTCAGATGAATTATAGAACGTATCCAAAAACGCGCAATGCAAATCATATTTCCAAACATTAATTATCAGGACGCACTGAAGAACAGTAACTTATTTTCTTCATACGAACAAAAAGAATACCTAACGAATAAACACTTTGAAGAAATATGTTCTGATCACAACCACAAACTGCATTATCTGGTGCCGAAACTAAACGAAACTTATATTGAACTAAGGAACAGACGTATGTTTAACTTTCCTGTGTCTAAAACAAACAGAATAAAAAATAGTTTTATATTTAGTAATTCATCTAGGAAAACTTTTTAATTCCAGTTTATATATTTATATATATATATATATATATATATATATATATATATATATATATATATATATATATATATATATATATATATATATATATATATAATTTCGCTTACCTCAAAATTCCGCAACAGTCTGTTTCATCAGTAAAGAATCGTCAGGCGGTATGACAAGTTTCGAAAAATAGGGCTGCTTATATGTGTTTTGGCCGGAACGTGGGGGTGTGTGGGTGAAACAAAGCATGCATTCATCTATTGTTTGCGTTGTTTACGCGGAAATGCCTAATCGAATTGTGGGAGTGTATTGTTTGCGTTGTTTACGCGAAATTTCTTCCTATGTCTGCACGTAGATATAATTTCCATTCTTTTATTGAGTAAACAGTTTTGGTTTTCTTTCAAAATACAAAATTTTTCTTCTAAACATAAATTACATCGTTTTGATCCTGCCGTATACGAAATAGCGCGTTTCAAAATTTGCCAATTGATATTAAAATCTTTCTTGCTATCTTTCAATGTCCAAATATATTTCGAAAGTATACATTGAAAGATAGCAAGAAAGATTTTAATATCAATTGGCAAATTTTGAAACGCGCTATTTCGTATACGGGAGGATCAAAACGATGTAATTTATGTTTAGAAGAAAAATTTTGTATTTTGAAAGAAAACCAAAACTGCTTACTCAATAAAAGAATGGAAATTATATCTACGTGCAGACATAGGAAGAAATTTCGCGTAAACAACGCAAACAATACACTCCCACAACTCGATTAGGCATTTCCGCGTAAACAACGCAAACAATAGATGAATGCATGCTTTGTTTCACCCACACACCCCCACGTTCCGGCCAAAACACATATAAGCAGTCCTATTTTTCGAAACTTGTCATACCGCCTGATGATTCTTTACTGATGAAACAGACTGTTGCGGAATTTTGAGGTAAGCGAAATTCTACATTTGCTCTATCTTTATGATATTGAGCACTCTTTGCGTATATATATATATATATATATATATATATATATATATATATATATATATATATATATATATATATATATATATATATATATATATATATATATTACATATATATATATATATATATATATATATATATATATATAGCTTAAGATTTTGGTTATGTATATATAGCTTAAGATTTTGGTTTACGAAACACAAACAGTGCTCAATACCATATAGATAGAGCGTAATATAGTTTTTCGTTTTACCTCAAAAAACCACAATTACAACAGTCCGTTTCATCCGTATAGGAAGAGACCACCTGATGATTCCTATACGGATGAAACGGACTGTTGTGGTTTTTTGAGGTAAAACGAATATATATATATATATATATATATATATATATATATATATATATATATATATATATATATATATATATATATATATCAATAATAATCGTTGATTCAAACAAAAGTATGAACGCACTGAGTAGTTTGAAGAGTGCTCAACACCAATATTAGTAGAGCTTTATAATTGTTGTCTTTTTACTTAAAATTAATTAAGTCGCAACTCTGAGTTTCACGTTTTCACGATCTTCAGGCGACGATGTATGTTCAACTAACTTTTCCTGCTTGGTGACGTTGATACCCGTTGTGCTGCTTGCGTGACTGAGTTTGCGTGCGTGATTGAGCTTGCGCACGTTCAAACTTTTCGGCCAAGAATCGTTTTTGGTGAACGCACTTCGAGAACAACTCGCGTCTTCTATTTAGCAAGTTTGACTTATCCGCTTTTAGAATGCAAAGTTTCTCTTGGAGGCAAAGGTTACATCTCTTTCCACCGCTGGAATACAAGGCTGCTCGTTTTAGGATAGACCAATTAATCGTGAAGTCCTGCTGCTTTTCCTTTAAGTTCCACACGTATTTTGAGAGCTCCGTATTGTTCCTGTATATAACATTATTGAAAGATTTATTGTGGTTATATAACCGTGTCTTAAAGGTGTTTCCCGTCATGCCAATGTATTCTTTAGGTTCCGAATTGTTGGTTACCACCTCTGCTTTATAAACTATGCAGTCTAATAGGCATTTCTTTTGAAGAGGACATTCGTTGCTATTATTACAATTGCATGTGGCGCTGTATGTTGATGATGATGTTTGGGTTGTCGATTTCGGTCTTGATAGTATTCTGGTGTTATGCTTAGAAATTATACTCTTGCAATTATCCATGCAGCTGTAACTGACTTTCACCGAGTTACGATTAAATATCTTATGAAGGCAATTGGAGGGTGGGAAATGTTTGTCAATTAAACTGAGGAAGATCTTGCCCACGTTTGTTCTTACGTTCTTGCTGAACGGTGGATTGAACCAAATTATGTTTCGTTGTCTTCGTTTATTACCACTACCGTTGTTGCTTGGGGTATAATGCAAGTTCGCATGATAGTTGCTGTGGTTCAATGCGCTTTCATACATGGGTGCAGCGGCTGAAAAGGCATTTTGGTCGGATGATAATTGCGAAATACGTTTGTTCACTGATAGCGGGATTTGTTTTATGATTGATGGTGGATGATTCGAATGACTGTTGATGAAAAGGGGGTCATTATTAGGTTTCCGGTAAGGCTTGTAACTCTGCTCGTGTAAATTGAAAGTTAAGTCGAGGAAGTTGATGGTTTGGTGGCAAATTTCGGCTGTTATCTTTAAGTGGAAGTTCTCTGCAAACAACTTGTGCAGATCTTTTCTTGCCTTATCGGCTAGAGGTTTGGAAGTTCCCTTCAGTAAAATAAGTCCATCATCACGATAAAGACCAACGTAATCTTTCCCGTATTTCTCAGCTAAGGAGTTTAGAATAAATAAGCCGACTAGCTCACATACCTCTATTGTTTTACCTCAAAAAACCACAACAGTCTGTTTTATCCGTATAGGAATCATCAGGTGGTCTATAGGAATCATCAGGTGGCGTATAGGAATCATCAGGTGGTCATGATTCCTCTACGGATGAAACAGACTGTTGTGGTTTTTTTAGGTAAAACGAAAAACTATATTACGCTCTATCTATATGGTATTGAGCACTGTTTGTGTTTCGTAAACCAAAATCTCAAGCTATATATATATATATATATATATATATATATATATATATATATATATATATATATATATATATATATATATATATATATATAGTTTTTCGTTTTACCTCAAAAAAACCACAACAGTCTGTTTCATCCTTTCATCTTAAAGGTGTTTCCCGTCATGCCAATGAACCTAAAGAATACATTGGCATGACGGGAAACACCTTTAAGACACGGTTATATAACCACAATAAATCTTTCAATAATGTTATATACAGGAACAATACGGAGCTCTCAAAATACGTGTGGAACTTAAAGGAAAAGCAGCAGGACTTCACGATTAATTGGTCTATCCTAAAACGAGCAGCCTCGTATTCCAGCGGTGGAAAGAGATGTAACCTTTGCCTCCAAGAGAAACTTTGCATTTTAAAAGCGGATAAGTCAAACTTGCTAAATAGAAGACGCGAGTTGTTCTCGAAGTGCGTCCACCAAAAACGATTCTTGGCCGAAAAGTTTGAACGTGCGCAAGCTCAATCACGCACGCAAACTCAGTCACGCAAGCAGCACAACGGATATCAACGTCTCAAGCAGGAAAAGTTAGTTGAACATACATCGTCGCCTGAAGATCGTGAAAACGTGAAACTCAGAGTTGCGACTTAATTAATTTTAAGTAGAAAGACAACAATTATAAAGCTCTACTAATATTGGTGTTGAGCACTCTTCAAACTACTCAGTGCGTTCATACTTTTGTTTGAATCAACGATTATTATTTATATATATATATATATATATATATATATATATATATATATATATATATATATATATATATATATATATATATATATATATATATATATATATATATACATTATGAAATCATCATAGTCGTTCTCGTTTCCGTTCAAATGTTGCTTTATAGTAGTATAGACAAACAACGAAAGAAAAAGTTCATATAAACCACGGACGCCGGAGCGAGGGCAGGGCACAGGGGGGCAATGTTAACGTAAGGGCAATCACTAATTAATATTTCGTTTCCGAAAATTTTTTCCGGAACCTTAATTCACCAAAACAAGAGCAAAAAAATTTTGAAAGTTAACCTAATTTTTAACACAATATTCCGGAAAATTTCACGTATATTTCAATATTACGTCCATTTCACCCGTAATTCATACTTTTTAATCGTTGTACCTCGTAGTTTTTGGGTTAGAATTTTTATCTAAGGGCACTTTCGCCCCCCCCCCCTCTGCCACGCTTACTAAAGGCAAGGGGGGCGATGCGTCCCCCCTTTCCGGCGTCCCTGATATAAACTAAATCTCCTGTAGGGCAAAATCCCCTTCAAAATGTGCAAATAAGTCATAACATTAAAAACAAGCCAGATAATTAATACTAATAGATTATTTGCGCCGGATAAACGCTACAAATTATTTTT